TTCTTCTAAGGATGAGAGGAGCGTCGTCGTCATCATTATCATCATCATTATCATCCCGCAAAATGGGAGATGCTGAAACTGGCCGTTTGCGGCTTAAGGCACCTTTAGCTGCAGTAGCCTTAGCAGGTGGAGAAGTAGATGGACGGATAGGATGTTTAGCGCGAGCAGGGGAGGAAGGATTCATAATGGACACAGGGGTGACCAAAATAGGAGAAGTAGAGGAAGTGTCTGGCTGATCCAGTAAATGGAAGGCACGATTAGCATCAGTTGCAAACAATCTACGTTTTACTGATGGCCAGAGCTGTTCAAAAAGAGGATGGACGGCACAGCTAGAATTGAAAGGGGCTAATGAAAATTTGTTCGTCAAAAGAATGTTGCGAGTATCTACAACTTGTGCTTCTGCCTTATTAATAGTGTGAAAACAATCTGTTAAATTTTTGGAGTAGCAAGGAGGAACAAGCCAAGTTTGGTCAAAACCAAGTTGGCGAGCAAAAAATTGGGGAGCATATATTTCAACCCCAGCCTTGGCATTGGTTCCAGTTAAAATATCGTGGAACAATTCCCTCCCAATCAAAAACTGAACCCAAACAAGCAGAGAGGCGCTCGCCTGTCCAGGGTGAATGGAGATTGCACATAATCTGGAGTCAAGTGAGCAGGAAAAGGAAAGAAGGAAGGAATCGAATTTAAGGTATAAAAGAATGAAAAAAATGTCCCTACTGGACATATTTGCAAGTTTCATTGGGTCAATGGCTGGCGCATAGCATCTAGCAAAATGAAGGGAAATTGATGGAGCACCAAGTGGTGGAAAGTATGCTCTCAACCACAGTTGAGTGAACCAAAGGGGCCCACTGCCATTGGGAGATACACCATTCTTCAGTTAAGATTGAAGGGAAGTCATGCCTCTATAAAGGGCAGCTAAAAAGAAGGAACATAAGTTCAAAGGCCTACCATGCGCCAATTCATGCGCTATGGGTAAGTAGCTCATAGAAGGTTTCATACTTGGCACGCAGAGAATATATTTACAGAGCCAAATTTGAAGAAAGGCCACACGCTCAGTGTGGGAAGGTTCAGGGCTTGAATGATTATAAAAGCCTTGCATGCTTGAATAGGACTTAGTAAGTTTCTTGTCAAATTTCGAGCCAACAGTGGAAATCAAGATATCAGGAAAGATGGTATCGCCCAAAGGCGGAAGATTTACTAGGGCTCCAACATCCCTTAAAGTAATAGACATGGGACCATGAGGGAAAACGAAGGTATTATATTCAGAAGACCAAAAATTCAAAGCAATCGAAAAAAGCACTGGGTCAAAAATTGGGGGTTGAAGAGCGATTTCTAATAAGTCTGAGATCCTAGCACGATCAAAAATCGCCTTGGTAGGACCATGATTCACTGGACGTGCATGCCATCTACGAAAAATAACATCAACTTTGGGCCAAGTGCGAATACCTTTTTCGCGAATCGGCCTCAATGACAGAGAGTTCAGGAACGGAGGGTCTTGAGTGCAAGGGAACAGCTGGCCCACCACCATTTGTCCAACGGCTTCGGTATTATTGAATGATGGAACCAGATAGAATTCATTGAGGTCAGCATTGGCTTGTGCAAGAAAGTTTGGATTTACATACGGCCTAGTAAGGATTTTCTGGAAATCTTTGAAACTAAAAGAATCATCAAATTGAGTTTGTGAAGTCGCCATTGGGTCCAAAGTACAGTCTTGTTAAGATTTACCTGAGAAACGTAGCAAAGAAGCAAGAAGATGAATTGTAAAATAGTGAGGAGGAAGCGCGAAATATAGAGACGTGGTTTAGTGGTGCGATGAAATGGCGTGTATTTTGGGTTTATAAGGATTTGTAACGTTGCACCTTTTCAGGCTATAGAAGGAAATAATGATTGAAATTCTTGGAACTTTCAAATGTTGCTGGGAAATAGAAAGTGAATATGGTAAAGATTAATAATTGGTATTAATTCTGCCATATTGGGGGGTAATTGTTGACACACTAAAAGTGCAGTCCAAATCAAATAGTCCAAAGAGTGAAGCCCAATTGGGGAGTCCAGGATAAAGGTCCAAACAGGATTATTGATGAATGCAGTGGAAGCCCACGAACATAGTAACATCATCGCCCAAGCTTGCAAGACGCCCAGAATCTGAGCGAATGGAGTGCCTTACAGTCGCCCAGAGCGATGACTCCGTTCTCGTCCAAACCTTTGAATTGCCCAGGATCTTAGCACATTCCACGATTCAAGGAGCCCAATTGAAGGCGGTTGAACGACAAAGAGTAATGGCAGCAGTTAGAGACGGCAGTTCCACGACAAGTTAGCCACCATAAAAAAAGTGAGTAGTTATAAAGCAATCAAGCAGTTTTCAAGCGGTTTGTCATGAGAAAATCATCAAAGAAATATAAAAAGGAAGAGAAGATATAGAGAGAAAAAGAATCAAACACTCTCAAATAGAGAATATGTAATTTTGATTTCTCAACTTAAATTAAAACATTTTTTTTAGTACTCGTGTGCTTGCGCCCCTTAGAGGCATTCTGTTTATTTCCAATTGTAAATCATCGCCAATAAAAAACTCCTTTTTGGGACTTTGTCTCAGGAGGTCTATTTTTTACACAATCGTCTGATCCCTTTTTAATTTTTAGCGACTACAAACTTTTTATTGGGAATGCCTAAAGCCAACCCGATTCACACAGCCCACTAATGGGGAAGAAAGACCATTTTTCTTTTTAAAATTCTTGTGACGTAGAGAATACGTGGAAAAGCATAACTTCGACACAATTGTGACTAGTGGGGATACAAAAAGCGATTCCAAAGCATATTCTTTTTCAGAAGATGACAATTGTCAATTGCAACACAAACAATGCCATTTTTGTGTTAAAAGCTTAACTATATACTTTGTAAAAAAAAAAAAAGGTTTATTTGTAATATCAACCATAACAAGAGTTCAGAAAATAATTTCTAATAGGACAAATTTCACCTACGATAATTAAGTTGTTAAACTTCGATTTCACTAACCACCTCCCAAATTGATGAATATTATTTAATTGATCACACCACACATCTTTAAATAATAATAATAAAAACAAAACAAAAACACAAACTCGCATCGTAGCCTTTAAATATACGTACGTTACATGATCACCAACTAATCAATTTCATTAATTTGGATGACAATAGATGAAAAATAATGACAGAATGATAAAATTTAAAAACAAATCGAAATTTAATTGTCCTCAACTTCATCCGATTCCGAATAATATATGACTTTCTAATAGATATATGTTTTCTCAAGAATCAGCCCTGAACGAAGAAAAACATACATCTCAGGTCATTCTTGTGAAACTTTTGTTGTCCCTTGTTTGAACTGTACAAATTCAAAGAGGGCACAACCTAAACAAGCAAGAAAGTCATCCAAGTTAATACAATCGGAGTAATTGATAAATTATGGTTTAACAATCCAATTGAGCGATGCGATAGCTCATGCAATGTCTCGTAATTTCATGGTAGACAGAATCTATTGGTGGGACCAATTTGATTTTCTTAAAGTGTATTTAACGATTAAAAAATTGTTGTTAATTGGATTAAAATACTACCAAACATGCTCTAAATTTTGATAAGTTTTTAAAAATATATTGTCGCAAAGTTATAGATCCCAATATATATATATATATATAAAGTTAGTTATTAACTTTGATTTTAAATTAAAATTAAATTTTAACTTATACCAAATATATATATATATATATAAAGTTAGTTATTAACTTTGATTTTAAATTAAAATTAAATTTTAACTTATACCAAACAGTGACTTGACAATTACCTGCAAAAGAGCATATTATTATTATTATTATTATTATATATATATATATATATATATATAAAGTTAGTTATTAACTTTGATTTTAAATTAAAATTAAATTTTAACTTATACCAAATATATATATATATATATAAAAAGTTAGTTATTAACTTTGATTTTAAATTAAAATTAAATTTGAACTTATACCAAACAGTGACTTGACAATTACCTGCAAAAGAGCATATTAATATTATATTATTATTATATTTATACCAACTCCAAAAATGAGGTAATGAAGAATGTGGGGCTGTGAGTGCGAGAAGAAAGGGATACCGTTCCCTCCAAATATGCAACCAAAAAGCTAGCGTATGCACTCCAAAAGAGGAATCCTAACCACATTCACGCGACCTCTATTTATCTCATTTCCAAAACTGCCCTTATTCGATTTTTGATAACCGGAACAACTAACACCATATATTTCGATCAATGATTTATAGTTTATAGCACCATATAAAGATTCCGGATTAAAGTACAAAAAAATTTGAGAATGAGTTGCTAAATATTTCTTATGTTTTATTAAAATCAAAAAAGTTTTCGGTAGTGATCATGAGAATTGATTTTTTGATTGTTAGAGAGAAAAATATGTCTCACATGTGAGAGAAGAAGTCAAAAATGACGACTGATTTAAGAAAATAACGATCAAACAATTGATTTTTTGGGATGAAAAATCAGAACCAAACATGCAATATTTGCAACCAACCACAACATATAAATGACCTACTAATCATCAAAAACTTGAGATTTGCCAAAAGAAATGTATGTATTATTGCAAATTAGAGATTCTAAGCACAAGATGCATGCAGAAATGAATCTACCGTTATATCATTAAATGAAGATGAGACGACGATCACACTTAGCCCTCATTTTAAAAAATTCATTTTTCTCAAACTCATATCTAATAATACATTTTAAAGGACCCATAATTTTTTCAACTTTTCAATCATATATTTATCGATTTTCATAAAAAATAGTTAAAAGTCTAATTTTTATCTAAATCAAATAAAGGCTCCACATTATTCTTTTGCGAAACAAATCAAATTAAATTAAAAAATGGTAAGGGTAGGAGTGTCAAATGATTTGGAAAGGTCAAAAAGAGAAGAAAAGCATGGCATCAAATGGATCGCTACTCCCCAAAACTTTTTTCTAATTTACTATACTTTTTTCAACACTCATCCAGTCCTTAGCCCTTAAGGCTTCTCTTCTCCATCTTCCCAACTTCTTTCACATTTAGAAATTCAGATCCACAAACCCAAGTTTCTCTGTGTTCTTTCAATGGCTGATACATTTTCTCAGACTTCCAAACCCAAAAGACAAGATACATCTCCCGATTCAAATCCAAGTAAGTTTTCTTATAATTATCTGTACAAAGCTGCTCTTGTTACAATTTTTCTTCTTCTTCTTCCATTTTTCCCTTCCCAACCTCCTGAATTCATTAACCAAACCCTGCATGCTAGAAGTTGGGAGCTTCTGCAACTTATTTTTGTGGGTATAGCCGTCTCTTATGGTCTTTTTAGCAAGAAAAATGAAGGAACTGATAAAGATCATGTCTCGAAGTTCGATAATGCACAAACATATGTATCTAAATTGCTTCAGGTTTCATCAGTTTTTGATGATGAAACCGAAAACCAAACTTTAGTTGATGAAAACAAGGTTCAAACCTGGAATTCTCAGTATTATAGGGGGGAACCACTCAAGGTAGTGGCTGAAGAAAGCCCTATCAGCGTCAAAGAACAAACAGCTACTAGTTCAGGAGTTGGCCAAAAGCCTTTGCTTTTGCCTGTTAGAAGTCTCAAACAGCGTGTGCCAGAGACTGTTGAGGTAGATGATTCCAATGGAAAAACCAGTTCACGGATTAATAGATCAAGATCCAATTCAGGGTCAAAAAGATTTACCAGCAGCAGTTCAAAAAATTCTAGGCATGACGAACTTGGAGAGATAAATCCTGTAAATTTGGAGGAAAAAGTGGAGGATAATGTTGTCCTCCGGTCGCCGATTCCATGGCGATCAAGATCAGGAAGGATGCAAATGAAGGAAAATGGGGATAACCCTCCTCCATATTCAATGGAGGATCCTGAATTCAGTAGCCTGGAGTCACTTTCTTTAAGGTCATCAAGGCCTAATTCTACTTGTTCAACACCAAAAACTTTATCTCCTTCGCCATCCATAACCTCTTCCAAAAAGCTTTCTTCTTTATCGTCAACAGAATCTCAAGCCAAAAGTTGTGAAGATTTTATGAGGAGGAAGAACTCCGACAAGTTTTCGCCTCCACCTCCACCTCCACCTCCACCTCCACCACCACCTCCTCCACCTCCAACTCATCTTCGGAAATCTGTATTGATGAAATCGAATTCAAGTGTTTTGAATGATGCAGAGAAGCAAATGAGGCGGAGCATTAGGAGTGTTCCAACGCAAGAATTGAGCGAGATAGAATTAGACGAACCACCAAGAAGAGCCAATTTCGGGTCAGATTTCAAGGCTGCTAGAGTTGGAAGTGATGATGTTCCATTCGTTGGGAAGTCTGTTCGAACAATTAGACGTGGTGAATTTCAAACAGAGGAAAATCCCCAACAATACGAAGCAGCGATCTTCCTCGACAGAAGTGAAGGAGATACTAACAAATCCATGCATGAAAATGTTATTCCTATTAATGCATCATCAAAGAAGGAACCCATTAATTTGAAAACTAGTGATGATGATGATTACTCCTCGGAGACTGAGTTTGAAGATGATTACTTCGAAGGAAGCAGTTCAGGCAATAATGGAGAAGATAGTGGTAATGATCCAGGGCGCGATGTGGACAAGAAGGCCGATGAGTTCATTGCAAAATTCAGGGAACAGATCAGACTTCAAAGAATCGAGTCTATCAGAAGATCCACTAAACAGCGTGCAGCTGCAAACACTTCGAGGTAACTCAATTCAGCTGTGATTTCATCACTGTCATCTTAGAGGTTCTTACTTTACCTTTTTTTTTTTTTTTTTTTTAAATTAATTTTCCTTTCCTCTTCACAAATTCATGGGCCTTGGTATAGAGGATTTGATGAGATATGTATTTTCATTGTAACTCTAATTATCAGACAGGTATACATACTGTTTTATGGATTAATCTCCTGCTCTCAAAGTGATCCTTCAGCAGCCTTGCCATGTATTTAAATTTTAAAGTCACAACCAGTGATCGATCACTAAATTATGCACTTAATCATATTATCTTACATATTTTGAAGCCAAATTATTATGTAATTACGATCCTTAAAAATATTTGTCATTTTAAAGTTACATAACATTAAATTGGTCGTGAAATGTACCAGCAACATCCACAAGAAAACATGCTTCATCAATTTACACCCAACGGCAATAGGGCGGGGGCGCTACTATGACAGGGGCTGTGACAGGCTCCACTTTGGAGGGGGCACCAAATATGCACCCTATTACAAGGCCTGTCAAAAGGGAATCCAACTTCCATCATAAAAATATTACTCCCTTCGATAGAGCCAATTGGTTCAACTTCCAGGCAACTCTAGTGCAATGGGGGGTATGTTTGGCATTTGTGAAGCTACTTTTTATTTATATGTTTTGTGAGGCACAAGTATTATTCACTTATCTACTTTTATTTTAGGGCATATTTGGTTTTGATTATGAGAATCAAATTTTTAACTGTTAGCTTGAAAAGTAAGTCCTATTTATGAGTAAAGATGTCAAAAATGATGACTAACTATGTTAAGTAACGATTAAAAAATTGATTTTTATAGACAACTGTTTAGAAAACTTGTCAAATCAATTTGGGGAATTTTCTGACGCCAAGAGGACGTATAGAAAGATTGCTTTTCAAGTTTGAAATGCACGTGTTAATTTGAATAGAGCATTTGCAGCTGTTCAAATTTTCCCTGTTCCGTGACCGCTCTCCGCCCAGGATAACACTTACCTCGTATTAGATGTGTAGTACTTAGGGGATGTTTGTGCCCCATTATTTGTGAAGAATGTATTATGAAATAGTGATTGATGTTGAAATATGTAGTTAAAAAAGAATGAAAATTTTTTAATTTATGTGTAATATTAATTTAATGAAGAATTTGGGGTTAAAAATGAGTATTGTAGAAAAAATAATGTTGTATAATATAAACAAACAACTGCGAAATAGGACATATTTGACATGATTTTTTATTTTACCTTTAATTCCTCTAAAAAAGCTTTTAAAAAAATTACTTTAATTTTTGTTTAGAAACTAATTTCTAAAAGCTTTTTTAACTATAAAAAATATTTTGATAAAATTAGCCTAGGTCCAAAAGTAACTTTTCGGTCTCAAACGCTCATTTAGCTGTTCAAAAGCTATGCCAAATTGGTCCTTAATATTATCAAAATCACAAGCTGAAATTTTTGAAATATTAGAATTGTAGAAAATCAAGAACTTTCAGATATGGATTCACTTAAGCCCTGAAATAGAATCTATATAGGAGGAAATAAAGAATCTCTATGTACTCCTAAGTGAAAAAATAATACTCCCTCCATCGCATAAAGATACTTCTATTTTCCTTTTTCGTTTGTTTCAAATTATAGTCCTATTTATTATTTGAGAGTATATTTAATATGTTAGTTTCCTAATATGCCATTATTTAAAATGCTTTGTTATCACAATGCCCTTGTTTGAGCCTCATTTTGGAGGAAAAATTACATTTTTAAATAGTGTATTGATGAAAAATGTATGATTAAAAAATAAGAAAAAATTTTAAATTTACAGTGTAATATTATTTTATTGAAGAATACATGATTGAAATAATATCAAAACACTGTTGAAAATGCATTTTTTTAAAGAATGGGGCTCAAGCAAGGACATAATTTAATTACCTTCAATATTGATTACATTAATGTAAGAGTATATTAGGAAAATTGATAGTATAATCTACCGTTTCAACTATATTAAGGGTGTGCTTGATAGGGCCATTCAATGGAAAATAAAATTCCACCCAAATTGTAGTTTTTGATAGCACACTTTTTCCATGGAATTCATTTTCTTGATTGTCTTGGGAGTTGTTCTTTTCTTGGTTTTTCACCCTACTTTGATGGTTTTTTTTTTTTTTTTTTTTTTTTTATAAAAAAAATTTTAAAAATTTAAAAAAAATTTTTAAAAATTGTCCTGAAAATTGTTCTTTTCTTGGTTTTCCATCCTACTTTGATGGATTTTTTTTTTTTTGTAATGAAAATAAATTCTAAGAATTATTGTAAAAAAAATATTTCCTTTAACTGACAATTTCTATATAAAACAAAGACAAACGATCAACAAAATATAGATGATTTTCTTGATTTTATTTTTTTTGTTGACAATGAAAACAAATTTCAGACCCAATACCAGTAAATTATATCCCTTTAATTGACAATTTTCATGTAAAACAAAGTCAAACGAACATAAAAAACACTTTTATTTCAACATTTTCCACGTGAAAAATTATATCAATCGAACACAATGATTTACAATTTTCAGGAAAATAATTTCTAGGCAATTCAATTCACTTAAATTCATTTTCAATTCAATTCATTTCAATTCCATCTTTGCAATCAAACGGACCCTAACTAAATTTTCTTAATCCGTGTGAAAAAAGATATAGGACTATTTTTATGGGATGGATGCAGAGTGACGTTTGTCAACATCAGGAAATGTTTATAACAGGCATGGGAATGAACTATTGATGTCCTCTAGGTTAGAAACAAATTAATAGTGTTCCTTTAAAATCCAAACAATTTGCTGACTACATATCTGGATTATGTCAATATTATTCACCGGGCCAGATCAATCGATGAACCTACTAGGGAAATACACAACATAAATGAGTTAAGCAAATAAAAGCCTGACAATCATGTTATCGAAATGCACCGGCAAAGTTCCTGAATTCAAATTTCAAACAAAAGTAGTTGAAGTGCTCTTCTGATCTTTAAATTCTCTTATAGAAGCATAGTTGAAGTTGGTCAATGAGAAGTTAGATAACATTGCCAGAGCTCGTTTGTCCTCAGCACTGTAAACTTGGTTTGCTTTTCTGATACGGATGGCATTCATTCTCTGATGCCTACTACCACTCATCACATACCCAAGAGTCTCAAACTTCTGAATCTCCTCAGCCGAAAGGCCAACTTCGCCTATGTGTGGAATATGCTTACTTCGCTGAACATACTGTGCAATGGCATCACCTTCACCGGGCCTAAGTGCACCACCATAGCTAATGTGCCCTTCTGCTGTTGGCAAAGGCATTAGCCCAACATCTTGTTCATTTCCAGTCAGTTTCTTTCTAGACTCAATCAATTCCTTAAACAACTCTGCTTTACTTTTGTCACGCACTTCAGCCTCATCTACCTTCTGCTTAGCAGTCTTTCCATCAATTTCAGAATCAGAACTACTCTCATCGGCATTGGAACTCTCGTTGTCAGATTCTTTTCTTCTTGCTTTTTTGAGAGGCGAGCTTCCCCTTCTTTGACTTACATGATCACTAGCATCGGAATCCTCAGTTTCACTCTCGTCAGTCTCGCTTTCACTTGAATTGCTCCTCCTTCTAGTATTGCTCTTCTTCCTCCTCCTCCCAGACCTCTTACTTTTCCTACTGCTCTTTTTCTTTTTGATTTTCTCTTCCGCCTTCTCCTATTTTATTCTTCCGAGTCGTCATCCTCACTGGACTCCTCTGACCCTCTCTCGATCTCAGATACAGATTTTGATCTCCTCCTGCGCCTAGAATTCAACTTTCTACTCTTCCTCTTCTTCCTTGACAACGAGTCATCTGATTTAGATTCAAAATGCTCAGGCTCCTACTCAGATTCACTCTCTGATGAATCGCTACTCAAATCTTTTCGAACTAGACTTCAATTTATCATCCTCTCTGTTCTCTTTTTCTTCTTCAGTTTTCCTTGTAATTTCATCCTCAGGTTCCAAATCCGAGTATTGGTTTGATTCCCTAGGAGGGCTAGGAGTAGAATTTTCAGTTCCTGAGTAATTTTCTCAATTTCTGGCAATTAAGCCTCCTGTACTCTTCAAATCCAAAGCTTTTCAATTCTTCATCCGACTCAGACTCCCCATGACGGCCATTTTTATAATCGCGATTGAGAAACGGTTTCTTTCAGTCATCATACCTATTCCTATTTCTTCTGTCGAACTGTAGGGTTTCAGCGGGCCTCGGGCTACGTCTAGGGTACGAAGAATAATCGGGAGAAGAGCAACAGTACCTGTTGTAGCCATTGCTGGGTGGGCTACGACTGTAGCTTGGACTCCTGCTTCCGCTAATGCTAAAATACTCTGGTGAGAAGGGGCAGGTGAACAATAAAAGGAATGGAATGTTGGAAAAGAGATGAACTCTACTTGGCAGATCGTTAAACACAATGAGCTTCTTGTGTTGAAACGTGGGAGGGATCAGAAAGTATTTCCCTTTCCTGAACTTGGTATTTCCCTCAGAAACCAAGTTATATTGTGTGGCGGCTGGAAATTTTAATGTTGTTATGGAAGAGGTTGTGGAATGTTTGTATATTGTCATATTCAATGAGGCACACTCATGTTAGTGACACAGACGGAGCGAGGTGGAGATTTGTACCTCTCTATAAGAAGCTTGTGAATAACTGGCTTTATTACATCCAAATTTAAATGTCAAAAAATGAGCAAGTTTTAGTACCTGTAAGAACATTAATTTGTGCAAATTATTCAAATAGGTAACTATCAAAGACTTCTAATCTCTCAAGTGTTATAGAAGAAACCTTTCGATTTCAAGGCTCTCAGAACAAACAGAAGATACCAGTGAACCCCATACAGAAATTTGTGGTATCTTAGCTTGGCTAATCATCTCCTCCAACAACATAACGGCTTTATACGGCCTTCCAATTAGGCAAAGTCCCTGTATAAGTTTAGTGTATGTTTCACCTCCGGGCCAGTAAGAGTGAATTAGCATCTGCTCCAACATCTGACTAGCGTCTGAGTATTTACCATCGTTACATAGTCCATCAACAAGAATCTCGTATGTTTCCTGGTTAGGAACACAGGCAACCTGCCTAGACATCTTGTCAAAATACCCTAAAGCCAAATCGGATTTTCCTTTGTTACAAAGACCTCTTATTAAAGTATTATAAAACCTAACAGTTGGAACACAGCTATTCTCCACCATCTCAATATCAATCACGTCCACCACTTCATCAATCGTTCCTGATGTAAATAATGATGCGACCTTAGCTTCGTAAATTAATGAAGATGGTCTTAATCCTCTGTCGTACATTTCTTTGAGCACTTCATCACCCTTATCAATCTTTCCTTCAGAGTAAAGATCAACCGCCAATGACCTGTATGCATCCCAACTTGGAACTGTGCCTTTGATCAAAGCCTTGGTGATAAATGCCTTTGCATTATGGGTACTTGCTTCACATTCATGATTTCCTTGGCTTAGATCAAGCTGTTTTTGGCATCGCTTTGGAGCCTTGAGCCCTTTTTTCAAGACTTTACCAAGTATTGCCACAGCCTCGTGGACCTCTCCATTGTCACACATAGCATCCAACAGAGTTCTATATATTGCAACATCAGCACCACTGCCCTTCTGAGAAATCCTCCACAACATAGAATATAACAAATGGGTGGCCTCAGTGAGTCTTCCATCTTCACACAAACCCCTCATCAAAGTCAAATATGTTTCCCTGACCGGATAGCAACATAGATTATCCATTTCTTGGAAAATGCACAATGCAAGATCAGAACGATGTATACGACAAAGACTATACATGAGCAAATTCAGGGCATGAGTCAGAGACTTGACTTCCCATCGGCAGGAATTCTCTAAAAAAAGGTGATAAGTGGTTTCTAGTTTGTCTTCTTTCACTAGCATCCTCAAAAGAGTACTGAAAGATTCTGTCCAGTCCACACAATTGAATTGTGGAAGACTTCTGAATAGAGCAATTGCTTCATCTAACAAACCTGCTCTTGCATAAGTTTTAATTGCACCTGCAAATACTGAATCTCGACACGCACAGGAATCCTCTTTCATTCTATAAATTACCTCTTTCATCTCAGCCACTCGTCCTGACCTTCCTAGGATGTCAATCATGGCACCATATACTGGACCATTATGGTGGTAGTTTGGGTATCTGTTTTTTGCTTCACCGAAGATCTCCAAAGCCTTTAGAGGGTTCTTCTGGTTTCGTATCAGCTGTGAGAGATAAGTAGGTGTTAGATGCCTTGGCCATCTGATACTCATGGGTTCAACACCTTCAATCTGTTTTATGAATAAAGGGGATGAAGAAAAAAGATCTTTAGTATTAGTAACAACAAAAACAATATATCCTAAAACCCAAACAAATCATGAGCAAAAACCAAGATAAGAGTAGTATCACACCACTGGTATTGGAATTTTCTCAAACAAGCAAATTATTATATGCTGGATATTTATCGTTCGCACTTGAGAGTAATCACCAAACACCTTATAAGCCTGTTCTTGTTCTTAATTTCGAAACCCTATCAGATTCTTGCCATTAGATGCTCAAGTACTGTACAATGTTTTCAGAGCATTTAATTAAATTTAAAAACTTGTCAAGAACCTTACTGAATGTAGATTTTTGTTCAGTGTTTAGAAGGTCTTCTGCAACTACTTCAAACAAACTTCTAGGCGAAGCAGGCTTCTCAAATATAGGATAGGTGGAGTATCTGTCACCCCTAAAATTACATCAAAACAAAATAAAATTTGCAATCTCAGAGAAACAAAATTCAAAAACTAATTTTACATTTAAACCAATAAAAACAGAATATACACAAAAAAGGGGGGTAGGGGAAAAAAACAGCAATACCTGTGAGCAAAGCTTCTGGTGTCTTTGTCGAAAACACGCGACGTGGACCAATTTCAGGATAGAAACTCGACAATTTCCGAGCTTCATCCCCTCTACTGACATTCTTAACCCCTTTGCATAATTCCTTGCAGAAAATCTGTCAAAAGAGGCATTTGAAGAGCATTTGTTCAGGGTATTGCCAAATTCAGTGTCCCAAAACCTCCATTACCCAATTTTTCACCTTGTTCTTTTGGGTTGAGGTGCATTTGCTGTGGCGCTTTTGGATTGGCGGTGGTTGCAGTGAGTGGATTGAATGAGATTAGCTGGGGACAATGAAATTTTTTTCGTTCTCTCTAAATTTTTTTGTACCTTTCAAGCAGGACTTATTTGGACTTCTAAAAAGGTTGGAACTCCCCCTTCAATTTTCTCTTTTTTCTTTCTGTTTTGTTATTTTCTTGTCCTTTTCCTAATCTTATGCCCGTGCAAATTGTGTTATTTTTTAAAATAATATTAGTGTATCTAGCGTTAAGAATTGATGTACATTAGATTAGATCAACAAATTAAACTCAATACAATCAGGTAAATTTACATATAATATTATCAAGAAAGTACAGTCATAAAGCATCTAAAGAGCATAACGAAATAAAGGTAAACTTTGATGCTGACAAAAAATAATTAGCAAACACGAGTTAAGTGTACAAGGGGAATTGAACAACATGCTAGCATCCTGGCCAGAGATGGCACCTTCTCATTAATCTCCTTTGACACAATATTAGATGTTTAGCTTGTAGATAGCTTAACTTATTTACATTCTTCCATTATCAATTGTAATCACAAAATTATATGTATATAAAACAGAACTATTCACGATGTGCTTCGATCGTCGATCATCAACAAAGAAGTTGTTGGTGTCATCAGCATAATTTTTCTATTAAAATTTTATTTCACATCCAACATTCCAACTGATGAGTCATAGAGTTAGTGCTCGAACTCGACCTAATCAGCCGGATCTCAACCTCTCACATGTCGCCCACCTATGAGGTCGGGCTACTTAAAGGTCGGGCCTTATATTTTGATCGGTCCATACTAGTTGTACCGGGCCCTGAGTCTAGCCACGCGACATCTGGGAAAGGAATGTCCTATTCCAACCGAAATTCCTTAGGATCCTTATCCTAACCATCCAACTCATTCCCTTTGTGATTCAAACTCAAATGGAACACCTTGAATAAAACTCAAACACCTTGCCCAATGAAGAAAAAGACTACAGGTAGTAAAATTGTTCTATAACTCTACCACCAACACCTATAAATACGTGGCCAAGACTCAATATTTAGGTACGTTTTTCATTGCTTCTAAATCATATCCTTACGCACTGAACTCCCCATCTGATTTAAGTATCGAAGGGATGACGAGAACACACCTTGTTGTCTTTGTTTCAAGTATCAAAAGATCATTCGTGTTCCCTTGTCTCGGAATTCAAGCTTTCAGTTCGAAGTCTATCAGGTATGATTTTTGGTAGTATCATTGGCGCCATCTGTGGGAATCACTACCAAAAGTCATGGTTAACACAAGTTCAAGTCTTCCTTCAGCAAGCTCATCCGTTCCAAACAATCCTCTCCCTCCTGAGGAACGCCCTGTCCCTTAAGAAGAATCATCAGAGATGCCAACATCTCAACCAGCCGTTGTCACCATTGGAGCTTTTGAGGAGCTCCGCCAAAAAGTAGCCGCACTGACCCAATTGTTAGGCCAGAGGATTCGCACCCGTCACATATCTCAACTCCTGAAAGTGATTTTATGACAGATACCCAAGTTCGAGCTCCACACGTAATTCATGAAGACGGTGGGGTTGGAACCTCAGGTGCGCCTCCGATGGCCTCAAACTCGAGGTCTGTCATAATGGATTCTACTAAACTCCATAGGATTATTCAATAGGAAATAGCAACGGGTATGCAACAAAACACCCAGGCAACAACAGGATTCACCCTTAATACGCCATTCACCCCAGAAGTTCTCTCATATCCCCTTCCGGACAGGTTAAGGTATCCTCGGATAAAGGAATATGATGGGACAATCGACCCCGTTAACCACCTCAATGTATACACGAATATCATGAACTTATAGGTAGCACCAGATGCACTGATGTGCAAAGCCTTCCCTTAGACCCTCACTAATGTGGGTAGAGATTAGTTCTCGTCATTGGAGCCCAACTATATTACACTTTCTTTACAAGCAGCAAGCGAATCAGGAAGACGGCCACATCGCTCATGCAGATACGCCAAGGGCCTAATGAAACGCTCCACAATTGCATGACCAAGTTCAACAAAGAAAGGCTTCAGATTCCAGATCTACATATCACGGCTGCAGTGTTTGTTCTGACATATGCCATAAGGTATGAAGCATTTAAATCTCTCAAAAAGTTTCCCAGAGCCAGTAATCGATCTTCTCTGAGAAACACATCAAGATGGAAGAAACTTTGGTCCTGAAGAGGGATGCATCATCTTCAGCTATGCTTAATAATAAAAGACCGCATGAGCTTAACCAACATCATGACATCCCTCGAGGCAAGCCGAGGTAAGACCCCATGTTGCAACCTTTACTCTCCTGAACACATCAAGGTCCTGTAAGTATTATGCTCTAGGTCCAATCAACTTTGGACATACATATTTTTATATATAATTAATGCAATTAAATGGCAGATCTATTATTTAATTAATAGACAATTAAATAAATAATAGAGTTCGTAGATTCAAATATTTGTAATTTGTTAAACACAAGGAGTTGTGATTGTGAGATACAAATTACATCTGATTGAATCTTAAATCATCCGTGGTCGTAAGTAATAACGAGATACGGATATCGTCATTACGGATAGACCATCACGTGTGGCATTTCTTACTTGTGAAGTAAGTAGCTGATCTCACAAGTTAAAGTGTGGTAACACTTAAATGAACACGTGGATGTTTTGTTATAGAACAAAACATTGGAGACCCGTCGAGAGATTCCACATGGATAACTATCTGAGTATCAGTGGTTAATTTCTAACGTTCGATACTGGAATTGGTTCTTTGACTTGAGGTCGTCATGGTACCTTATATGAGGACAGTCATACTTTGACGATGTTGGATGTTGCTCTGAAAAGGGCCGCTAATACGACATCGTTCGGGTACGTCAAGAATCGTATGAAGGTTGTGATTGATCAATAAAGGATTCGTTACTCTTAGATAGTAGGAGATTATGATCTGCATTTCATTCAATTAAGTCGATGATGAAATTCTTAGCCAAGGTGTACTCATAAGTCAAAAAAGAGTTTTCGACTTATATTGACTTAATAGTGGAGTGAAAGATAGGATCGATGATCGAGATTGACACAATTCCATATCTCGTAATTGATCGGATCATATTGACGAAGGGATTATAATTTCACGGTAAACGAACGAATTTGATTTTGTCATACCACGTGACATTTTCCGTCACATGTATTGCCCTGACACATTGACAGATGTCAATCAGGGACCGCGAGTGTGAATTGACGATAAATTAAAATGGTGTTTTAATTTATCAATTTTGATTAGATCAAAATAATATTTCATGTTGTTAGGCATCGTGGTAGGAACCTAATGGGTCGCACACAAAAGAGAATTGGAAGATTGCAAATTGCCAATTGGTTAATTTAACAATCGTTGGATAAATTAATTAATTGGATTTGTTATTTATTTTCCCGAATTAATTAATTGGATTAATTAATTCATGGGCCGGGTTTAATTAATTGGATTAATTAAATATTGGACCGGACCGAACCGAGCCCATTTGGGTTTATATAAATACATGGCTAGGGTTTGAGGTCCATATGGTTTTCATTATTCTTGCTGGCACAAGAGAGAAAACCCTGGTAGCTGCAATCTTGTTCTCTGTGTGGATTACCTTTGGAGGCTGGACAATTGGACAGCTGTGGATGGCGAATCAAGATTGCGGGAACGAAAAGAATAGCAAAGAAGTTTGCAGATCTGGAAAAGGTACAATCTTATCACAATTTCTATCTAAACACAAAGGCGATTCTTGGTGGAAATCGAAAATTATTTTAAATTTCGCTGTGCATGTATAAGTAGATTCCCAACAGTGATATCAGAGACTTCTTTGTGTTTGTTAGGAATTGATTTAAATGTTGGTGAAATCAAAAGTTGATTTTGTAATTTCTTGTTTCTGGCAATTTATGAAAATTTGATATTTATGAAATTAAGGGACTCTGTTGGAAATTTTAAACTATGGTCAATTTGCAATTTTGAAAAGGTAATTTTGAATTTAATTTTAAAATGGTTTTAAATTTGTTTTTAAATGCGTTTGACCTAAAATTTCAAATTGGACCCGTTTAAAATTTTAATTTAAATTGACGATTTTTTATATTTTCGTTAAAATATGATTTTAACTTAAATATTAAATTTGACCCTAAATTGAATTTTATTTTATTTAGGAGTTTCATCTTATATTAAAATATTAATTCAATTTAAATTAAAGTTTGACTTTAATTTAACACTTAATTAAAATTTGATTTTAACTGGTTATTCACCCGAATATATTTTCGAAATTAGAATTGGATTCTAATTTTACATTTAATTAAAATTTGATCTTAATTAAATTGTCACGCCCTAAATTTCTTCTTGGAATTAGAATTTGACTCTAATTTGCTATTTAATTAAAATTAGATTTTAATTAAATCAATTCACCCTATAATTTGTTCCAATTAGAATTAGACTCTAATTTGATGTTTAATTAAAATTTGATTTTGATTAAACATGTTCGCCCTAAAATCTTAGATTTAGAGTTTAGACTCTATCTTTACCATTTAATTAAAATTTGATTTTAATTAAATTCATTCGCCCTTAAATATTGGAATTAGAGTTAGACTCTAGTTTTGTCATTTAATTAAAATTTGATTTTAATTAAATTCAACCGCCTTACATTTTGAAATTAGAGTTTGACTCTAATTTGATGTTTAATTAAGATTTGATTTTAATTAAATAATCCCACCATATAATTGTTGAATTAGAGTTGGACTCTAATTTGTTATTTAATTAAAATTTGATTTTAATTAAATATTCCCACTAATTAAATAATCGATTAATATGATTAATTAATTATTTAATTATTCCGATCCATTTGTCTAAAAGAGTTTAGACGATTTAATTGCTAGAAACTTGAAACTTATTTGCATATAATATTAGATATTATATAGGTATACATTTATGTGATGAATGTATTATTAGTGGATGATTATGGACTCGATCATATGGATGTGTTGATTGGTTAATTTTTATTTTTGTCATTTTATGGGCCTGCGAACTCTTAATTGTTTTGGGCCTGCGAGCTCGTTATTATTGTTATTATTTTGGAGCTGCGAGTCCATTATTATTATTGTTACTATGGGCCTGCGAGTCCAATTTCATTTAGGCCTGCGTGTCAATTAGTATATGATACATGTTGAAATTTGACTAATTGATGAGATAAGAAGAGGTGGAGACCATGGAGATGGTGCATTGACACTGTTCAATGCCATACCCCCTAGGAATTGACCAACTAGTCTTCCTTATGGCTCGGGAAGCCTAGATAGTAAAATTTCATTATCGTCCACACTATTATATATATATATGCATATAATAATAATAATAATAATAATATATGTATATGATTGTATTGTTGTTAATGAGACTCATGAATGCAAAATCCCTCCATAAAATATTAAGTCACATTTGTAATCGCGTTCCATCATTATAGTGAAAAATCAGAGTCCTAAATCATCTCAACTTGTTGAGTACATTCAAGGCTGGTCCATTAGGGATATGTTTGACACTATGAAATATTTGATATTTCTGAATGATAGGTTTGACTTAACTAAAATTTATCTTTTGTTGAGTACACTCAAGGAGATAAATTTTCGAGGCATGTTAAGCTAACACATAAGATGTGTAGTTGTCAGCTTAATGATCTGAAAGTTGTATGGAAATACAATTGATAATAGTATCTGCCCAAATATTATATTAGGGCTTGTTGAGTACACTCAAGGTCTTAATATAATAGATGGGATCCCAGCCCACTGGGAGTCAAGCATGGACTCCATAAATTTATGTGAGACGGTCATAAATTTTATTTAAACAGTGGGAGCATAATTAATTTAATAAAAGACTATATTAAATTAATTGATGCATTTTATATATTATTCTTTCCTTTTTGTCATTTATATTTATTGAATCTGAATAACCATATGTTTTGAATGGCATACTAGATGCTAACAACCAAACTATATTTTCTTAATTGACACTGCAATTTGAGAATTGTTCTTATGCATGAGAAAATTGGTCATGTCTTTGAGTAGCCCTTTCCAGAGACACCTGGTGATGAATCGATTAAAGAAGAGGTGGCTACTATAGTAAACGCAGTGATGATAATAGTACTGTAACATATGTGATACTTGTAACTATGTCACTAAGTTACAAAAGCGACTTGAGAGTATAGATGTTGACACATAATCCTTCATTACAAAGGGTTGTATGATAATAATCGTGTGTGGAAGGATATGAGACTTTTGAACAACTATACGGGTGCAAAATGACAGAGTAATCTTCAATCGATACTTAGACACTGAAGATGATTGACGTTGAGAAATGTCTCAATTGAGTTCAATACAAACCATGAACTAAGTAGTGACTTGGTTCTGCAATCTCTGTCAGAGAAAGCTATTCATAACTAATTATGAATTTAACGTGAATAAGCTTGAATGCACAATTATTGAGTTGCTTAATATGCTTAAGACTGTTAAGCCCAACATCGAAGTTAGTAGTGGGCAAGTCATTGATTCCTCTAAAAATATTAAGAGGAAGGGGCTTTGTGAAAGCGTCCAATATGGTCAAGACAGTGTAAGCAAAGGACAATACCAAATATAATGACCCTTGGTTTTATTATAGAATGAAAGGTCATTAGAAGGAATATTGTCTGACTTACGTCTACTTCACAAGTTTTTTAGGTATCTGATACCAGATGTAAATCCCATATTTATACAAATATGGAGAAACTAAATAGAAGTATACTACTGCGAAAGGAAAAAGTTAACCTACATGATGAAGATGAGCAAATATTGCTGCATTGCCTGTAGGAGCATACTTCTTGCCGTTGCCCTTTGACTTAGTAATGGAATTAGAGAAATGTTGCTTTGTACCCACCATAGCTAGAACATTAAAATGAATTTCATGTTCAGACATGAAGCATTTTAATGTTAAGGACAATTGTTGTTTCTGCATATCTTGATTAATATCTTAATAGTTGTGGTAAGTTACAAAATAACATTTGCATTCTAAATACTAAGAATTCTATAATGAGTATAGAAATTATAAGGTATAAATGCGATAATCTAATTATTACCGAGATCTGGCATGACAGACTTTGTCATATAGATAAAAAGTAATTCCAAAGTTACATAGAGATATATACTTGAGATTAACTGATTTTGACAAGTACAATTTATGCATGTCTAATACAATGACCAAATCTTCTTTTATTTGAAAAGAAGAAAGGTCAGCATAATTACCGGTCTAATGCATAGTGATGCATATGGACTCATGTCAAAAGATGCCAGGTAATGTTTCTCTTATTTCATCAATGATCATGTATACTTGATGAAAACTCAAACATGAAATTCTTGAAAAGTTTAAGGGATTCACACTAGAATTAGATAAACAAATAGGTAAAGATACCCACACATTAAGATTCGATCAAGTGAGAGTATCTTAAAGATAAAATTTAGATAATCTAAGAGAGAATGAGATTCTCGTGCAGTGGACTCCTTCATATACACTGCAGCAAGGTGGTGTATTTAAAAGGAGGAATCGTTAATTATTACATATAATGCAATTAATAACAAGCCATGCAAATTTCTCAAAATTGTTTTGAGGTCACGCATTGATTGCAGTGTGCGACACACTAAACCATGTCCTATCTAAATTGGTTAACAGAACTCCATACGAGTTATGGAAAGACAATAGTCCCAATTTATCTTGTATGAAAGTTTGGGGTCATGACGCTTATTTGAAGCGCCTTAAATCGGATAAGTTTGAGACCGAATCCGATAAATACATATTTGTGAGATATTCAAATGAGACATTTGAATATAAATTCTATTGTCATGAAGAAAGTCTTCGCCTCATGACATATCGTCTTCTTAGAGAAAATGTTTACTCTTGGAGAAGACAGTGAAAGTAAAATAGAATTTGAAAGAGTTTAAAAGTCCACAGATATAGTTAACCAAGTAGATACATTCGAGTTTGATCCCATATCTGATAATGGACATACTTTGGATCAGGAAGTAAAAACTCATGAGGACATGACAGCTCTATGTAAATTTAGTAGGATCATTCGACCTTCAAGAAAGTGCGAATCCATGATCATTAATCAGGTATTAGTGATCCAGGATAATGAATCTGCTAGTTGCAACAAAATAAAGTCAAGTATTGACTTAAAAGAGACAGCATAAGGCCATGATACTCGAGATGAACTCGACGTATGTGAACAAGGTTTGGACCTTGATTAAGCCTCCTGATGGAATAAAACCCATAAGGTTTTGTAAATAGTTTACAAGGGAAATGTTGATATGGAAGTGGATATCCATATATACAAAGTAAGGCTAGAAGCAAAGGTTAAGTGTTGACCTTGGTGAAACTTTTCTCCCGTGACCTTGCTAAAGTCCATTCGGATTTTATTTGCAACAGTTGTATATCGTAACTAAAGGTTAAGATAAATCTCTATGGAGTTGAAATCTTCGATTTGATGGAAAAAGTCAAAGTGTTTGATTTTATCAAATTTGAAGACGAATTATGTATTTACAAGAAGATAGTGGGAGCATTGTCGTGTTCCTAATATTATAGAAAACGACATCCCTATATTTCAATCGTTGAAATAATGGTTGTTAAAGGATTTATTCATAAACGAAATGGGATAAGCAACTTGATTTATAGAGGCAGATCTAGAAGATTGCTTAACTCATCCCAATTTACATAGATGAAATCTTGAGAAGATTTCATATGGAGAAACTGGTTTACTCTTAAGCGGTATGTTGGAAAGGTTCCAAACGTGAAGCAACCGTTGATTCAATAGTAGAAACCTAATACATGGATACTTCAGAAGTAGCAAAGAGTTGCAATATGGATCATGATGTTCATAAATGAACTTGGAGTAGTTCCTGATATTGTTGATCACATACAATAGTATTGTGATAACAATAGAGCCATTGCGAAAGCAAAGGAATTAAGGTCTCATCAATGATCCAAACATGTATTAAGGCGGTATAATCTCATCAAAGAGATAATACATAGAAATGATGTAAAGAGAAGAGCAAATTTCCATATTTAATAATATTGCAAATCCACGGACAAAGAGTTGTCGTAGTATAAACATGATCGTCATATAGACTTATGATATTTGATACATAAGTGATTGGATCTAGTGCAAGTGGGAGTTTGTAAGTATTATGTCCTAGGTCCAATCAACTTTGGACATAAATATTTTTATATATAATTAATACAATTAAATGATAGATCTATTATTTAATTAATAGACAATTAAATAAATAATAGAGTTCGTAGATTCAAATATTTGTAATTTGTTAATCACAAGGAGTTGTGATTGTGAGATACAAATTACATCTGATTGAATCTTAAATCATCTGTGGTCATAAGTAATAACGAGATAAGGATATCGTCATTACGGATAGACCATCATGTGTGGCATTTCTTACTTGTGAAGTAAGTAACTAATCTCACAAGTTAAAGTGTGGTAACACTTAAATGAACACGTGGATGTTTTGTTATAGAACAAAACATTGGAGACCCGTCGAGAGATTCCACATGGATAACTATCTGAGTGTCAGTGGTTAATCTCTAACGTTCGATAGTAGAATTGGTCATTTGACTTGAGGTCGTCATGGTACCTTATATGAGGACAGTTATACTTTGGCGATGTTGGATGTTGTTCTGAAGAGGGCCGCTAATACGACATCGTTCGGGTACGTCAAAAATCGTATGAAGGTTGTGATTGATCAATAAAGGATTCGTCACTCTTAGATAGTAGGAAATTATGATCTGCGTTTCATTCAATTAAGTCGATGATGAAATCCTTGGCCAAGGTGTACTCATAAGTCGAAAAAAGAGTTTTCGACTTATATTGATTTAATAGTGGAATGAAAGATATGATCGATGATCGAGATTGACACAATTCCATATCTCATAATTGATCGGATCATATTGACGAAGGGATTATAGTTTCACGGTAAACGAACGAATTTGGTTTTGTCATACCACGTGACATTTCCCGTCACATGTATTGTCCTGACACATTGTCAGATGTCAATCAGGGACGGCGAGTGTGAATTGACGATAAATTAAAAGGGTGTTTTAATTTATCAATTTTGATTAGATCAAAATAATATTTCACGTCGTTAGGTATCGTGGTCGGGAACCTAATGGGTCGCACACAAAAGAGAATTGGAAGATTGCAAATTGCCAATTGGTTAATTTAACAATCGTTGGATAAATTAATTAATTGGATTTGTTATTTATATTCCCGAATTAATTAATTGGATTAATTAATTCACGAGGTGGGCTTAATTAATTGGATTAATTAAATATTGGATCAGATCGGACAGAGCCCGTTTGAGTTTATATAAATACATGGCTAGGGTTTGAGGTCCATATGGTTTTCATTATTCTTGCTGGCACAAGAGAGAAAACCCTGGTAGCTGCAATCTTGTTCTCTGTGTGGATTACCGTTGGAGGCTGGACAATTGGACAGCTGTGGATGGCAAATCAGGATTGCTGGAACGAAAAGAATAGCAAAGAAGTTTGCAGATCTGGAAAATGTACAATCTTATCACAATTTCTATCTAAATACAAAGGCGATTCTTGGTGAGAATTAAAAATTATTTTAAATTCTACTGTGCATGTATAAGTAGATTCCCAACAGGTCCAACATCCTAATAGAGCTCAAGGACCTGAAGGAGCTCAAATGGCCGCCCAGGTTGCGATCCCTACCCGATAACAGAGACAGGAACAAGTATTGCGATTTTCTTCGGTACCACAGACATACCACTGAGGATTACTTGGCTTTGAAGCTTGAAACTCTCATCAAAAGGGGATTTTCAGGCTCTTGCATCAGCTATGATAAGTGCCCGAGGAACAATCAAGATAAGAACAACTGCCAGGAAGGACCAAGAAATAAGCAGTCAGAGGCAGGGATTATCAACATCATTGTTGGAAGAACAGCTTCTGGAAGAGACTCCAACAGTGGACGCAAGAAATATGCAAGGCAGTCTCCTAGCATTACAACTATAGGTTTTGATTATACAGAAGACATCACCTTCGGGTCACATGATTTGGAAGGCGTATCCTTTCTTCATGATGATGCCCTCGTTATATCAGCCATTATCGCCAACTTTGAGGTCAAAAGGATTTTGGTAGATAACGAAAGTGCAACCAATGTACTATCTCATGAGGCCTTTATTTAGATGGTTATCTCAACCGAATAGCTCAATCCAGTTAGGACACCTCTTCAGGGGTTTGGACGAAGAGTCATTATTCTTGAAGGTATTGTGGGGTCACCCCTAACGTTGGGATTGGAAGGCCGATAAGTAACAAAGATCACAACCTTCGAAGTTTTCCATACCCCAATGACCTACAACACCATCTTGGAGAGGTCATTGCTTCATAGATTAGAGCTATTGTTTCAACTTTTCACTTAGCAATGAAGTTCTCTACGAGCAATGGAGTTGGAGTGGTTCGGGGTAGCCAGACACTGGAGCGCCAGTGTTATGTGACTAGTGTCCAAAAAAATAAGGGTGACATCATGCATCTATCAAAGCTCGAGCTCGAGCCTTAAAATCAGAGGAGACTTGCCCCAGTGAAGGAGCTAGTCGAGTCAAGCTCGGGCTTGGTAGGAAAGTCACTATTGGACGGGATCTTTATGCAACTACCATGGTAAAACTCATAAGCTACCTTTTCCACAACTTGTATGTGTTCACTTGGAAGGTCGAGGACATGCCTGGGATTGACCTTGAAGTAGCGGTGCACCGGCTCGGCATAAACCTTGACGTGAGATCTGTTAAGCAGAGAAAAAGATAGTTTACACCGGAACGACGGGAGGTCATACGAGAAGAAATTATCAAGCTCGTCAATGCACGGTTCATCAGGGAAGTATAGTATCCTTATTGGCTTGCTGATGTGGTCCTAGTCAAGAAGGCTAGTGGAAAGTGGTGAATTTCCATTGATTTCACTTATTTGAACAAAGCGTGTCCAAAGGATAGTTATCCCCTACCTCGAATTGACAACCTTGTGGATGGCAAATCGGGTCACTGATTGTATAGTTTTTTGGATGCTTTTTCAGGATATCTCCAAATACTCATGGCCGAAGAAGATCAAGAGAAGACCTCATTCATGGCTGATTTTGCTATCTATTGTTACAGGATCATGGCTTTTGGGCTGAAGAATACAGGGGCAACATATTAATGTTAATCAATAAGGTTTTTATCGACCTGATTGGGAAAACTGTTGAGGTATATGTGGACGATATGGTGGTTAAGAGCAAGGAAATGAATGGTCATATCTCTGATCTAGATGAAGTATTTGCCACATTGCGGAAGTATAGCATGAAGTTCAACCCTACGAAATGTGCCTTTTGAGTAGCGTCAGGGAAGTTCTTAAGTTTCATGATCACGCACAGGGGAATAGAGGCCAATCCCGACAAAATCCAAGCTTTGATATCTATAGAGCCCCTAGGAGCAAAAGGGACATTCAAAAGTTAACTGGCCGTGTGGCGACCCTGAACATGATCGCATCCCGGGCAGCAAACAGGTACTTCCCATTTTTCAAAGTGCTCAGAGGCAACCAAAGTTCTGATTGGAACAAAGAATGTGATCTAGCCTTTCAGGAGCTCTAGCAAGCATTAGCCACACCTTCTGTTCTTACCAAACCAAAGCCTGGTGACACCTTGCTACTATACTTGGCTGTTTTTCATAACATAGTAAGTGAGGTGCTGGTCAAGGAAAGAGGAAAGGTTCAGCGACCTATCTACTATGTCAGTTAAGTACTTCTTGATACAGAAACCAGGTATACACTTGCCGAACAACTGGCTCTTACCTTGGTAATAGCTACTAGAAAATTACGACAGTATTATCAGTCTCATCCCATTATTGTTCTCATCGATCAACCCCTCAGGCTCATACTTTAGAAGCCAGACGTTTTAGGAAGGTTGTTGAAGTGAGCTATTGAGCTTGGAAAGTTCGACATCGAGTTCAAGCCATGGCTTGCTATCAATGCGCAAGCTTTGGCCAACTTCATTGCTGAACTTGCTCCAAGGCCCTTGGGGCCCAGCGAAAATGGCCCAAGTAAGACCTTAAAAATTTGGGAGATCTTTGTGGATAGGGCATAAACAATTCGGGCTCAGAGGCCGGGATCATCATCATCAACCTGATACAGTGTGCACTTAGATTTGAGTTTAGGGTTACCAATAATGAGGCAGAGTATAAAGCTGTGGTCATAGCTCTTGAGCTTGCCAGAAGTCTTAAGTTGGAACATATCAAAGTCTTTAGTGACTCAGAGTTAGTGGTCAGTCAAATTGAGGGATCCTTTGAAAAAAAAAAAGACAAAAAGATGAGATTGCATTGACTAAGGGTACATGATCTGCAGAGGCAGTTCAAAAGTTATGAAATTTTGAAAGTAGCCAGAGCTGATAAGTCCAAAGCCAATGTACTATCCAGTCTTGTTTTCATGAGATAGATAGATTTGACAGAAATAGTACACGTTAAGATGGTGACAAAGCCTAGTATAAACCCGAAGCTAGGCATCATGGATATTGACCATGAGCCCTCCTGGATGGATCCAATAGTTGATTACATAAGCAATGACAACCTACTATCTAACCCCCGCACTACAAGGAGCTTTCGGACCAGAGCACCAAGGTATTACATCATCAGAAGATTTTTGTTTTACAGAAGTTTTACTCTCTCCTATCTGAGATACCTTAAACCCTCCATGTCTTTTCAAGCCCTAGCTAAAGTTCATGAAAGTATATGTAGAAATCATCAAAGAGCCAGAGCTCTTGCCTACAAATTGAGAAGGTATGGATATTACTAGCATACTATGAGGAAAGATGCAGTTGACTATGTTACGAGGTGCAACAAGTGCCAGACGTTTGTTAATGCCATACATATTCCCACGGAAGAGCTAACTTCTATCCATTGTTCGGTACCCTTCAAACAGTGGGGAGTAGACATCCTTGGACCTTTTCCCTTGGCCAGAGAACAGTTGAAGGTTGCAGTGGTAGTAGTGAGTATTTTACAAAGTGGATAGAAGTCGAACCCCTAGCAACAATATCAGAGACAAAATTTAGATCATTCATATGGAAGTCCATTGTTTGTAGATACGGAATTCCAAAGGTACTTAGAACAGAAGATGATAATCAGTTTGATAATCCCCAATTCAGAAATTTTTGTGCCAACCTTGGGATTGACCATCGTCTAACTTCAGCGTCACACCCTCAAAGCAATGGCCTTGTTGAAGTAACTAACAAGATCATACTGCAAGACCTACGAATGAGAATTGGGGATGCAAGAGGAGATTGGCTTGACGAGTTATGCTCCATACTTTGGGCATACAGGACTTCTCACAAAACAGCAACAGGTGAAACTCTTTTCAAGCTAGCTTTCGATCTGGAAGCCACGATCCCAGTTGAAGTCAACCTTCCCACATTGAAGAGACTCGAGCCTAGTCGAAAAGGCCAAACAACCGAGCATCTTAACTTACTTGAGAAAGTGAGAGAGTAAGCCTCACTTAAAGCTACAAGTTATCACGACAGAATAGCAAAATACTTTAACAGCAAAGGCAAGCCATGGAGGTTCGAGAATGGGGATTTGGTCCTTAGAAGATCCGAAGCAGCAGACCGCCACCCAGGTAAGCTTGGGCTAGCATGGAAAGTGCCTTTTAAAGTTATATGGAGGATATAAGATGGAGCATACAGTCTCAGAGAAACTTCGGGGAGACCACTCTCAAGATCTTGGAATGCAGATAACTTAAAAATATATTACAAGTAGCTGGTAGTAGCTATAGCATTTTTCTCTGGTATTTCGAGTTTCCATGCCCAGACTCCAAAGGTAGTTTTAGGGCTTGCTCGCCCGCATCGTTTTATTTTTCCAGTAGCTGGGGTTGAGGCACTTTTGAGCGCTTCGTTTCAGCAGCTCGGGCTAGGCACCCTAGAGCTCTTTCTCATAATAATATTCATTTTTTTTTTACTTTTTACATCATTCTCACAATTCTAACTTTGGCATAATGACGTGCTTCAAGCATGCAACCAACTCTCTTAACTTTGGCCTTAGCGACATGCTTTGGGCGAGCATGCAGTCGAATCTATACCTTGTGCAGCGCAAAGACACGAGATCGAGTTGAGGTCATCCAAGAATGCCCGACCTCAATTCATTAAAATAGTACACAATAAAAAGGTTGAGCTTGGGCGAGCCATAAATGACCACATCCCAAGCTCCTTGGTGAACAAAAATAAACAGTTACGAACTCATATTTGAAATACTTTTCACAAGTAGCTCGACCAATTCTAGTAACCTTCGCCTCTCGAGGATCAAATTACGCACAAAAATGTTACACTCAAGTTAAAATACTCAAGCCATTTGTCAAGCAAAACGGGTGCTTGAGCTATGACAGCTTGAACTACTACAATTCAAGGTACAAACTCTAGCTCAAAGAATCATATGAGACTCTTGTAACACACGAGTTTGAAGTACTGTACGTAATATGTAACGATCACAAGCGAGCTGAAGTGTTATACATTGTCTATCTCGATCTAAATCATTATACATACGCAACGATAATACACGAGCTCGAAGTAAAAAGCTTGACAACATCTAAACGCAATAAATATTATGCATGAACACTTATCAATTGCTTTAAAAAAAAAAAGGGATAAGCCCAGTTCGGGCAATATACTTCACAACTGAATAACAAAAAAGCAACAAAAGTGAAGTACGCGGTTGGGAGGCTTAATCTATGTCATTGGGTTGGCTCCATCTCCCTGTCGGGGGTCCCGACGTCGTCCTCACCATCATCTTCATCCTCGACCTCTGAGGCAGAAAGATCGAGCTTGTTCACCGTTTTCAAAAGCTCAGCGGCGGGCTTCAAATCTTCAAGGACCTTCTTCTGGAGATAAGATCGAGCAAGCCTTAGCCCATAGTGATACGAGCCCAACCTGTGCTATCCCAGTGAGGTCCCAAACTCATCTGACTGTTTGAAATCCTTGACCGCCTGGCTTTAGCTTTTATCTCCTCCTCCACAAAAGTTTTTCGGGACTGAAGAAGCTTGAGCTTCAATTCCTCAGCTTCTTCCTTTGCAACCACGGCCTCGTCTTGAGCCCTTTTGATGTTTACCCTAGCCGCCTTGTGCTTGAGAGCCCCCCACTTCTTCTCCCCCTCGAGCTCCTCCAACCCACTCAAGATGTTGAAGCCAT